GAGCTTGGGAAGTCTGGAAGCTTGTGTATTGTGTATTGTGTATTGTTCCCAAATGCTTGAAACCACTGCTTACTAAGGCGGTTTTCGGCTTGTTATCTACTCATCCTCATCTTCTCCTTCTCTCCAGTTCTTTACTACCACTACTCTCATCTCTCCTTTTCGTCAATCAACCAATGAGGCCAGTATTGCTATCAGATTCTCAAAGGCTAACTAAAGAGAGCCGAGCCTCCCCCTCTTTCCGCCTCTAATATAACTAACTTATGTAGTTAACGAGTTACGATGAAAAAGTTCCTGCTGATGTAACGTTGCTCCCTGCCAACCCTCGCGCGCGCGAGTTGTGTGCAACCCTGCTGTGTGACCGCTCGTCGCTGGTCAGTCAAGTCGCCCTTTTTAATTTCGGCGATTGACGCTGACCTCGCCAGAGTGGCCACTCCCACTGCACTTGCACTCTTTTCTTCTCTGCGCATGGACGATGTGCGTGCTTGGCGTGGAGTGGTGGTGGTTGGGGAAGCATGGGGAAGCTTACAGGAGTTCGTTAAATCTAACATCTTTGTTTGGTTCATGGCTATGGATTTTCTTTTTTTCCTTTTTTTTCTTTTTCCTTTTTTTTCTTTTTCCTTTCTTCTGCTTTTTATTTTTATTGGCGGAATAGAAACCAAAAAAAAAACAAAAAGAGATATCTTCATAGAGTTTAATTAAACCAGGATTGAAGAATCAAATAAGCATCTCAAAGGAAGATCCAAGATCTCATCAGAACCCTATTCAACATCATCAACTGACAAGCACGATTAAACTTATGTCGAACCACCTACTCCTCATACCCCGGCGTCCTTCTCGGGGGAAGCTTCCGGGGTTCTTACCGTTATATTGACATCGAAGCTTTTAGGCTTTGATTTTATTGCTTCTTCCCCCAACTATTGTTCAGCAATACCATTATCAGCACGATGTAGACAACTTTCCTTCCTTTTCTTTTTCTTTCTTTTTTTTTTTTTTTTTTTCAAAATTTAAGTCGTCTTCATTAAGCCCTCTAGGGTATAATTTCAAAACAAATGTGAATGGATATGTTCTTGATGATGAAGTAGTAAAAATATAAAATCATAGTTATGGTAGTTTAGTTAACTAACTACCGACGACTTTGAATGCAGAGAAAATGAGAAGACAATATTTTTCTTAGAAATAGAGTGTTATATTTTCCCAGTAGTTAATTTACTTATATTCAACTTGCTTAGTTAGGCGTTGACAACTATCTATTTTCTGTAACTATTCAAACATACATCCTATCTTCTTTATATAGTTAGTTTGTTTATTGCTTTAATATCCAATGCCATTTTCTTTCTCATAAGGACCTGTGAGTTGACCGTAGTCTATAGTTCCATCGTTCCCCCTTTTTTATCTTCAGAGAATAAATTAGATTCAGAAGATTCTTGGCCAAAGGTTAATTAATACATACTATAGTTATACTAACTAATAGTTAACTATTAGTTAACTGTCCACTTATTCTCAAAGGTTTCCATACCAACCTTTCAGGGGGAGTTTTCATTGTGTATTTGAATGAATATAATATATGCACACCACCAAGGGTCCTTGCTATAAAGTAACTCCTCTGAGATTCCCCATTATTTTCAAAATTTTCTTTTCCTTTGAACCAAGCGAGCACACAAAGCCTGGCAGTGCCCGGTCATCGCCTGAGCTGTCAATACTGGAACTATCCAATAATCACTGCCTTCATTGATGGTTGGAGGTTATGCGGCTTCACGTCTAACTTTACAGGCCCTCAGCTCCTGGCACAAGATCGATTCTATCCTCACCAGGCTGCGGCTGGCGGTCTGTCTCGTCTCAAGACAGCAGCAACAGCAGCAGGAGGGGAAAGCAACATTCCCGATTTTAGCCCTCTTGAGACATTTTCCAACTGTGTCTCCCAGTTTCCACCCCGCCGGTTCGATGCCTCATATATATCTATATATCTTTGATAGCTTTTTCTTGTCTTATCTTATCTTAGTGGGTGGGTGATTCTCTCGTCTCACCTCGCCGACTATGTGGCACCCTCATGGACCGACCTAGAGAGATATGCGTCGTCGTCCTGGAGACAGGAAAATGCAACTTAGGCAAGGCATGGTTGGTGTGACAAACACCTTTTCTGACCCTCCGACAACCTTTCCCGAAAGCGGGTTTTCAATTGTCCTGGCTTGTCCAGATTACCAAAACCAAGGCCTTAACTCTTTTGGGGGCATATAGCCATGTAGCCATATATATATATTCGAATCTGGCTACCCGGGCGAAGCAAGCAAGCAAGGGCGTCCGTCTTCACCCGTTCATTTATGCCGCGATGAAAAGCCAAAAACCACACTCCTATTGCACATCCGTTCTGACATCACATGGAAATTTCTCTCCCGTTCTTATCTTTTTTCTGTGATCGGAATGCCAGCTCCAAGGTCAAGGTCGAAGCTAGAAGCATGGCTTCTCCTGAAATTCTGATTTTCTTGCTTGAAATACGCAGCAATTGGACTGGGAAACCCCCCCTTCAGAAGCAGGTTGTCGGTCCTTATCTGAAATTGCAACCCAGTGCAATGTGGACCAAGATATCAACCATATCATGACTTTGGCTCAACCTCAGCAAATGATACGGGCATATAAAGAGCTCGGAAGTGCGACAAAAGGCTTCGTCATGGGATGGAGTTAATTACCATATTGTCAATAGGGGCCTCGGGCCTGAGAGCGGAACTTCTGCTGCCCCTCCCCCCCCGCTTTTCCTCCTTTGGGATTATTTATTTATTTATTTGTTTATTCGATCCCTTCGTCATTCAATCACTATTCCAATTTGTCGATGATGGCATATCACTTGTTGGAATCATATTCGTGCGTTGTGACATGACCTACTATATATCTCCTCCTTCTGCTGCTTGTTTCTTGACCCTGTGAGCTCCTTCAGTGAGCTGGAGGTACATACAACAGCTGATTTCTCTTTCTTTCAACAATCGCTCATTTCATGTCAAATGCTGTTGGGTTCTCACTCACCTACCCACACACACACACTCCCCCAGAGACAGGGAATGTTAGAAAGGACTTTGCATGCCCTCCTCCCTCCCGCCGCTCTCTTCATCCAATCTCTGTTGACCTTATCACTTAAGGTTACAAGAGATTTTTTTTTTTTTTTTTTTTTTTTTTTTTTTTTTTTTTTTTAATCCCCAGTGTCTCAAATTTGCACGGAGATGATGGCCCATTTGCCAAGGCGGCAAGGCAGTGAGTGGGTGGGTTTGATATTCGCTCTACGAACTCAGTCAGAAAGCTGCTCATGGACATCTGGATTCTAATCGGAAGCTCTTGAGGCTGTTGCCTCTTCTACCAACACCATTGCACTCTTTTTTCTTTCTTTCTTTCTTTCTTTCTTTCTTTCTTTTCTTTCTTTTCTTTTCCTTTTTCTTTTTTTTTTGGCTCTCCTGCAGAAATCTCGCAAAGGGTGTTACTGTCCTCCGAACAGTGGTCGAATCAGACAAGCTGAAGAGAAAGAAGTCAAAACCTCAACGCATTTTCGTTATATCTATTTTAAACATCAACCACTTTTTATTTAGCCCCCTTCGTTTCCCGTCAACCTTTTTGGCCAACCAACGAGTAGCAACACCCGCGAGGTGCGGAGGGCGTTTATATGAGATGGAGGCGAGAGAGGCGAGAGAGGCGAGAGAGACTCGCACCATTTTCACCATCACCATGACATCAAGACACCGCAGATTTCTGCCAAAAAATGCCTGGTATATAACTAGTTGTTATGGTACGCGGCGGATTTCAGTTGAGAACGGTTTTTACCGTTCTTCTTTCCCCCCCTTGTCCTTTGTTTATTTTTGGAACACACAGGAATAGCCACCATGACCAAGCACTGTAAGCCGGAACTACGGAGTATGATACTGATACGAAGTAGTTTTACTGGACTGGACTTACGCTGTAGCTTTGAAACAGTTGGAGGGCACGAGCTCCAACTGGCTGAGTGGCTGGCAGTTTCGAAACATCTGGAGGCTAGGCTAGCCAAGCTTCCCAGCTCCTTTCTTCTGGAAAACGGCACGATGTGATCGGCGCAAGGAGAGGGTAAAATAAAAAAAAAAGAAATAAAAAACTCAGAAACGAAAGAGAGAAGGAGAAGAAGGAGAGGCGAAAGAAGCCATTTGTGTTTTCTTTTTTTTGGGGGGGTTTCGGTTTCGTTTCCCCCCACCCCAGCATCTACGCTCGGATGGGAGTTTGGAAAGAATATTCCCTTTTTCTTTTTTCTTTTTTTTTTTTTTTTTTTTTTTACCCATCCTTCTACATCCGCCAGTGGAATCAATCAAAGACTTTCATCCGACTTGCTTAGGGATGGAGCGGAGCGGCTTCTCTCCCTCCACAGACAGACTGCTGCTTGTTGCCCTTTTAAGTTTCATTTCTCAGTTCTGTCCTCTGTCCGGGAACCGCTCGCTTGCCCGGATCCATATTCACTATATTACTATTACCATTATTACTTATTACTGTTATTACAGGAAGCTAGAGAAAAAAAAAGGCACAAAAAAAAAGGGTCACCATTGCTGAAAGGCAGGGAGGGAGTTTTTTTCCCCTCTATTCTTTAGAAAAGTAATGACGTATATATATATATAACTAAAATACATCTTGATAAAAAATAAAAAAAATCCAAGGGTGGGCGGCGGGGGAAGTAAAAGTAAAGGAGGGCCCGCGGGAGTTCATTATGATATAAACACCCGTATAGTTAGTTAACACAAAACACAAATACCACCATAACATGCAAGCCCTGGACCGGATTCTCCGCTGTTGATGAAACATCGTCGTTCATTCATTGATTCACTGATCCATTCATTTTGCATTTTTTCATGGATTTTTTTTTTTTTTTTTTTTTTTTTTTAAATCTTTTCTCTGGTTTCAATTGGCCTGTTCGACAACAGGCTTTCATGTAACATATGGATAAGATAAAAATATTATATCATCTATCTTTACTCCGGGGAATCCAGAATAGAGGAGAGAAGAGGGGCGAGAAAGAAGGGATATCCGGAAGAGATTGAGCGTGCTTCTAAAATTTGAGCTCTTTTTGACTGGCTCGCCCCGGTGGTGAGGTGTTTTTGTACCCTATCAAAATCCAATTGCTTTGGAGTACTAAGATTTCATGAGCCTTGGGCACTTTGTACCGCAAAAATCTGACCAGGAGAAGGTGGTGGGATTGGGGGTGGTTAGGGTGGGGCCGTTAAGGGGGGCGGGAGGGGTGAGGTTTGGTGTTGTTGCTCTCCAAGTAGAAGGACGGACAATGTTTTTTTTTCTTCACCTCCTTGCTCATCGAATGTAGGTTGAGAGGAGCTTAGTAAGTTAGGGGCAGTAGTAGTAATACTTCTGTAGCGTGTATACGGATAAGTGATGTGTGTATATTTCTTATATACTGAATCTGATACTGGTTGTTGTCTTGTTGCGAAATCTAACCCAGAGGGTGTCCAAAAAGGGGGGAATGGGTGAGGGCTCAATTTCAGAAGCGGATATATAGAAGAAGGGAGGAACAAAACAATAACCATTAGCGCAAGGGACGAGAAAAGGAGGAGAGGGGGAAACCGTTAGATAAAATATACAAAGACAAATTCGAAGGGAGGTGAGGTAGAAAGGTCAACATTACAAAATATATACATAGGTATCCAGAATAAATAAATAAATAAGTAAAATAAAATGGGAAGAGAAATGGAGAAACAAAAAGATGTTTACAGTAGACGGGAAAGGAAAAAAGAAAAGAAAAAGAAAAGAAAAAGAAAATAAAAAAAGTCCTACTAAAGCAAAAGGACCCTAATACTTTTTTCCAACCCTTAGACAAAGGAAAAGGAAAAAAAAAACAGACATTATGTTTTCCTTCCCAAAGCAGAGAGAACGGGTGTGTGATGTCATTCTTTGTGAAACTTGTGGGAAATCCAAAGTAGATAGAATTGAGGGAAAGATAAGAATGCGTTCGTAGATATTCATTCCATGTCAAAAAGAAGATATATATAGCGTAAGAAGGGTTATATGCATGCAGATACGCCCTTTCAGCTCCCCTCGATGAAATATGTCCTACTACGACTCCTCGCGGCTATCGCCTTAGGATCGTCCGGTAAGTGCGTATGGTGCACAACGTGCGGTCGATAAACGGCGTCGACAGGGGCTTGCCAGTCATCCAGGCCAAGCGGGAAGTACTCGTAGAGAAGATCGGCGGTTTCACTGGGATTGAGGATCTGAGATGCTAAGAGGGGCGGCTGGAGTTGATGTTGCATTTGATTTAGGGTGGTTACGTTGCTTGACGAATTGTGATTGTGTGTTAGAGGTTGGCGCTTTGGTTGGGCTGTAGCGCTCTTTTGTAACTTCTCGGAGGGTGAGCCGTCGATGTCCCGCCATCTATGGATGCCCGCGTTTGTCGGCATGGACATGGCAGGGGGTGTGCAGTTGGAGTCGCCAGCGGAATTGGCAGGGCTGGAGTCCTCGTCAATGAACGAGAGGTTGATTGGGCGTCCCGTGACACTGATCCGTCGCCGCTTTTCGCGATGCTGATGGACGTCTGGACTGGAGTTCGCATATGAAGTGGCGGCATCATTTACAGCACCGTTGGTGAATGTGGGTGTGGGGAGAGGCGCGGAGGGAACAGTTGCAGTCTGTGTCCATTCCGGGTAGGACGATGATGGCAGCTGCTGCTTCCTAGCATCTTGATCCTGGGGAGATTTGCTCCGTTTCGTTCCTGTCCCCTGTTGGGAGGAAGGAGCCTCGATCGTCGCCGCGCGGTTGGCGTTTGCCTGGGCATGCTTTCGTGAGGATGCGGCACTTCCGCTAAGCGGAAGATCCTTACGCGACTGGAAATTTCTGGGGCTACGGCCGCGCACGATTACAGGCCCAGAATGAGCCTCGCAAATAGAAATCTTAGCACCTGTCGACAACGTTGCGACAATCTTCAATCTCACAACAAAATGTTGCTGCAATTCCTTCCTCCGGCCATTATTCGCAGTGGCGATACGGAACTGCAGCCGCTTCCAGGCAATGGAGAAAGTAGCAAAATCCGAGTCTATATCCTGACCTGCCATGATATCCAAAGGAATCGAAGGGGGCTCCTTTTCTGTCTTGTCTTCCGGCTGACCTGTGGCATTGGCTGCAGGCGTTTTCCAGGGAACAGAAATGATTTTCACGGGATTACCCTCGACTGATTCGGTTGCGGATACTGTGAGCTCCTGCGCAAGTATAGGGATCCGATCGCCCTGCTCTGTCATGATATATCTCATTGTACGTGGCAGTGTCACTGAGCCTGTGATTTGGAATAGATTCCGCCTGTAGCAAGTTAATTCAGCCATCGGGGGCGGACCACTTGGTTTGGTCGTGGGAGATGTGGTCCATGGCGATTCGGCAAGAAAAAACATGCCATGAAGCTGGGCGGCCATGGAGATGGAAGTTCGACGTAGCGAATAATCGAGCAAAGTAAAATTGTATATGGGTATAGAAAAGCTGAGCAGTTTGTGATTATGGTCGATGGAGGAGTCTTGTTGGGATTGCTGATCCGACGGAAGCGTTTCGAATGGGGCTATCATCTCAGGGAAAGGGTCGTCAAAGTGGGTATTGGAAAATCGTCGTAGAGAATGCGCAGGAATCTGAGGCTGCGCATAACCAATGTCGTCACCGCTACCCAAGTACAGAGTGGTCAGTCAAGGCGCCAGCAGGGATTGAAGATGGGGTTGTTCGTTAAGTGGGACAATACCTAACAAATGTTTCATGGTCGTACGCCGAATGGGAGTCTGGCATATCCAGAGAAGGCATGGCATTGAGGTAGTCCGTATTTTGCATATTGGCCATAGACAGCGGGCTGCCTAGGTAAGGGACGGCCATGGTGTCGAAGCTCTCCATCTTCGGGATATCGGAGAGGCGGGCTCGATGGGCGAGCTGCTGGCAGGCAAGTCGCAACGCAACAGTGTGAAGACCGCTGATGATTGTAGGAGTCGAGAAATCAGACCCGCATCCACAGCGGAATGGGAGGGAGATGCAAAAGAAAACAGAGGGAGGGGGGATGAAGGGAGAGAATAGGTGGCGGCAAGGGGAGGGGTGGAGAGGAGGTTTGCTGTGGGGATGGATGGAGCGATTTCTTCCCTGTCATGCAGCGGCTCTAGGGCAGGTTGATGTATGGTTCTCTGATAGTTGAAGGGGAGAGAGAGAGAGAGAGAGAGAGAGAGAGAGAGAGAGAGAGAGTGTGTGTGTGTGTGTATGGAGTCCAAGGCGAAAGAAGCGGAGACGGGGAAGTTGGATGTTGGATTCCAAGGCGGCCTGCAGGGAGATTGCTGAGGTTGGGGATGTTTCATTCC